GTGGTTTGAAGAAAACTGCAAATGATAAAAGGAGTGCCTGTAGCTTTAAGAAATGGATTCCCTCGGTGGCTGTTGCTGGGTAACCACAGCATTCCAAGTCTGAGTTCTGTGAGTAAAACACAAGGGAAGGGGAAAGGATCCTTTCCAGGGATGTTTTGGTCATTGAGGGAAGTCTCCTTGGGACCAGGCCTGACAGTAATCACTGGGTGACTTGATACCACCTGACTTGTGGGACTCATATAGGCCTAGCTGCTTGCTACTCTTCAATAGCAGCCACCCTATGAAACCCATTGTGCTGTAGCAGCTAGCGCTTCAGAGCCATGCTCCCTCTAAGCTGTGGAGTCTTGTGAGCAAAAATTCTACTTTGTGAGCTACTGGCATCAAAGTTGTGAATGAGCGAATTGGCTACTGCATAAATTAGTTTGCTCTGGAGCCATCCTTCCTGAGCTAAGACAAAAATGTGTGAACTGGAGGCTAAAACATTGTGAGCTAGCTCACACTAACTCAGCTTAGAGGAAACACTGCTTCAGAGTGGAGTGTGAGACACAGGTTTGAATCTCCATCTTAGTATGAGAGCTCCTTGGGTGATTTGGGGCCAGTCACACACTTTCAGCTTAACCTACCTCACAGGGGTGTTCCGAGTAGGGTTGCCAGGTCCGATCGTTTCCCCAGCAGGCGGATTAGGGGGTGTTCAGGAGGGTGTGTGGCTACCCCCAGTGCAATGATGTCACTCATTTAAAGGGAAACGTCCTGTTAAATGGTGTGTGTGGGGGAAGCAAGGGCCAAGTGTCCCTGCCATGCTAGAGGCAAAATTGCCTCTTGCAAGGCAGGAGCAGATGGCCCCGCTTGGGAAGAGTGGGCGCCGGGGTCTCCTGCCCTGCAAGAGGTGATCTTGCCTTTTGCAAGGCAGGAACCAATGTCCCCTGCTTGGGAAGAGTGGGCGACGGGTGCTCCTGCCTTGTCTCTTGCAAGGCAGGAGTTGATGGCCTCCACTTGGGAAGAGCGAGCCATGGGTGCTCCTGCCTTGAAAGAGATGATCTTGCCTCTTGCAGGGCAGGAGCTGATGGCCCCTGCTTGGGAAGAGTGGGTGCCACCTGCCTGATTTCCAAGCGGCATTGCCCTCTCTCAAGAGAGAAGGGAGAGGGGTGACTGTCGGTGTTCAGGTTTGGGGGCGGGGCTTCCCTCGACGGCTGGTTGGCCAGTGGCAGATTGAACCCCCCCAAAAGCAGGTAAACCCAGCCAGACCAGGGGCTTTGGCAACCCTAGCTGCAAGGAGAAAAAAAGGAGGAGAGGGGAATAATGTAAGCTACTTTGGTCCACACTATGTAGAAATGTTGGGTATAAATGAAATAAATAAATAAATATAGCTTAGCATGGGAGGCAGATAAAAGATTGTGTTGGTGAATGGTTGAGAAGGTGAGAATGTGGCAGGGAAAGGGGAGAGAATATGGGAATTGACAGGAGAACAGAAAGAGGAAATTACGTGGGGAGGGGGATACAGGGGAAAGTGAGGTATCCCACACAAATCCTTGAGGGTTTCCTACCATGCAAGTGGGTCTGGTTCAATGGATGTCACCATGCAATTGGGGCATAGTTTTCCTAGGTAGAGGCTGCTGGGGGGAGGGGGAAACATGAAGACCAGGGTAAATGTAGGTTGGCCATTGGGGGAGAAGGAAGCAGGAAAAGGTATTTTCAGGAAAGGGAAAAATGAAATAGGGGAGGGGGAATGAAATGCCTCCCCCAAGTCCATGTGGGTTCCCTCTTGTTGTTTTATAATTTTATGTTGTTTTAATGTTTTAAGTGCACCACTTTGGAGACTGTGATCAGGTGGAAAGACAGCATAAAATGTTTTAAATGAATAAATATTAGTATGTAATACTACTATAAACTTGGAATAAAAGATAATGACTGCAATCCAAGAAATCCTTCTATGCATTTGTGCAAAATGAAGTATTTGCTCCTATCTACAATGCTATTCACATTTTAAAATTTGCAAGCTTTTAAACACTTAAGCAGGCTGAAATCCTTGTGTGCAAAACATGTAGGAATGCAGGTGCTTATTTTTCATACTTAAAATACTTCGAGTTTTGTACTCGATTTGTTATAATGACCATTTATGGTAATGGAGCAGGTAGGAGTCTTGAATTGGACTTGGAAACACACTAACAGCCATCGTAGTGGTGTAATATTTGTATATCAGCTCATTCTAACAAATGGGCTGCCATATTTAGCAGAAGTTTCTGAATTATCCTCAATGCACGTTGAGTGCATTGCAATAATCCAGTTTGAGATTACTGTTGCATGGATCAGCGTGGTTAGTTTAGCTGGGTCAAGGAAAGAGACCAATCTCTGAAGCACATCTAGCCTGAAAAGGACATTTCTTGTGACCCCCCCCCAGCTGCTTTTCAAGCGAAAGAGCTGGACCCAATGATACCCCCAGGCTTCTCTATGAATGAGACAGAGACAAACCAATTCAGTTAAGGGCAGACAGCACAAAATCCCAACTACAGGTGATCTGCCATGAAAATCCAACATATATGTTGAAAAAATGAAGTTCAACATCCAAACATCTCAAGAGAATTAAGTGATCAACCATATCAAAGGGTGCTGGGGAATCCAATAATAACATTCCCCCCATTTTCATTATTTTTCATTTAAGAATGGGTGCAGCCAAAGCTAGGATTAGTTAACAAAATGGTTATGGTAAAAGAAATAAGTTCTTGTTTCGGGGCCTGAAAAATCCATTTTACTTTCCACTCTTCTATTGCAATGTGAGTGCACAAGGTTAGGTAGGTCAGGAGGTAATACTCAGCCATCAGTGGGTGGCAATCATGGGCGAGGCGGGGAGAATCCCACAGCTTTGTTGGTGAATCTCATGAGACAGTAAAGGCAGCTGGAATTAGCACCATGCAGGGGTACAACTACTGCTTAACCATCAGTTCCCGGCATGGGTCAATGTCATAATTGATCTATACCTGTGCTGAGTACTGCTTTTTGTTGTATCCAGGGGTCATTTCGTAGAAAAAGAGATGCAGGAGCTCATTAGCATCGCTCATTAGCATAACTCATTTGCATATGCCACACCCCCTGACATCACCAGAAGTGTGTCAGAAGGCAACACCCACCGCTCAGGCTCCATGGGACTGTTTTGGATTGCTAGCTATGGACGTGCAGATCTGTCCTCGCAGAGGAGGGAGAGCTTGTACCTGAATAAAACTTGGCCTTAAAGGTACCACTGGACTGTTTTGGATGGGGGGGGCGGCTCTGCAATTTACCTGGCTGCTTCTTGCTCTGACTGAGGGCTGCTGGGAGCAGGGGGCGGGGCTTATTGCATGTGCCCACCCGCTGGGCTCTTTACTGCCGGAGCTCCGGTTCTGTGCTCTCCTGCAGGAAATGACCCCTGGTTGTATCATATTACTTGCATTTTACTGAAAACTGGAAATCAGTTTTGCTTTAACTGAATCTGCAGCTTCTATATACATAAATATTGTCAATTCCCTGCTCCTATGACAGACCTTTGTTTCCCCATTCATGCTTTTCTGTTGGGCCCCTTCCCCCAAATGCAGCACTTGGGAGACATATTTTTTTCTGCAGAAGCAGGAGGAAGCACGTTCTGCACATGGAAATTCAGGGAAATTATCACTGGGCCCAAGCCTCAGTACTGAAAAATAACATTTCTCAAAAAATATCCTATATCAGCTGTGAGAGGATTCATTTAAAAATTGTAGTATACAAATCACCAACAATCACTGTTTTCAGGAAGAAGACATATGTTTTGTTTGTCATTCTTCGACATGGACAAGGTTTCTATAAGTCAAGTAAATGTAGGCATCCAGCTCTGAATCTCAAAATAGTGGCTATTTGAGAGCCAAGTATGTTCTTCAAATAATATAGTATAGAACTTTATAAAGATATTGCTTCTTTTTTTCTCACTTTTTCTTTTGCTGTTCTGATTAGTCTTTCTCCTACTTGCTCTATTACCATAAATATTCATTATAACAAATCAAGTTCAAAACGTGAAGTATGATTGTTCATTATAAAGTATTGTTCATTATAACAAATCAAGTACAAAACTTGAAATAAATAAATGCACTTTTATCCAGTTCGACCCCATTATTTTTTATCTGAACTTTGTTATCAGTAAAGGTGACTACATTGTAGAATATACTCTTATGGATTTAGTAAAACTCAGGTGTGAAATTATCATGCTGAGTTAACACCTGGATTTTTTTTTCCTGATTATTGAATAGGCATTTCAGTCAGCATCTTCTATTGGATTTTTAACATTTTTGTGGTACATTTTATGGACTTAGGGTTGCCAAGTATAACTTACCTGCGCAGCGGGGGACTCCCGGGTGGATCCCAGAGCGCGCGTGCACCACACGCACATCACCAGGAAGTGACATTATGATTCCGGGCACGCTGGGGGCAGGGCCACGACCATTCGAGGGGAAACCATAGAGTTTCCCCTCGGATGGTCGTGGCCCTGCCCCCAGCGTGCCCGGCATCATAACGTCACTTCCTGGTGACGCGCATGCCGGGGTGGGGTTCCCCCCGAGGCCCAATTCCGCAGCGGTGGAAATTGGGCCTCCAAAGCGGGGGTTTACCCGCCCCCACTTGGCAGCCCTATATGGACTGTATGCAGATGAGGTTTCTTAAAGTGTTTTTTCTTCCTTTGATTTTTGGCCTAGAGGCTTTGAGCAGACAGCAACCAGGGAACACTCAAGGAATGATCTAAAGGGATGCAGGAGTGATGGGGAAGAAGGGCTTGATCGGTATCAAGTACTTCCACATTTATTGCAGCCTGCATAGTAGATTATTATTTAGAAACCCTTGCTCCAAATCACCCTTATATGGGTTCAGTTTGCAAAGTCCATAGAGGAACTGTTCGATAAGTATAATTTAAAGAATGCTCCTTACTCTCCATGTACTATTTTAGAATTAATTTCTTAACTGCTTGAATGCATTTCACAAACACTGTGTTTTCATGTCTTCAACAGGGCAAGCATTGTGCAAAAGAGAATTATTTATTTTCAAGATGAGGGATCTCTTACCAAGAGGCTATGTGAACAAGGTATGATAAACATAATTCATTTCCCTTTCTCTAATTGCATTCTCCCCTTCATAATTTGATCCACTAAAATAGGTAATCAAAGCACAGCTCAGACATGTCTTGGCATTTATGTCGGATAGTTTGGATTACAAGGCAGCTGAAGCTAAGCAGTTTTAAATCCTATTGATTTCAATTGGAGAAAGAACTCCTGTTGAAATCAAAACTATTTAACTTTGGCTTTCTTTTAAAACGGGTCACATTACAGCCTGAAAGCTATCTTCTGAACTTTTTTTTTTTTAAAAAAATACTACCCCTCCAGTCTTGCTTTACAAAAATAATGGAACTTAATTATGTTCCAGGCCCATCTAACTTTATCACCCTTCATTTTGTCACCTTCCACTTTCACACAGTCAACCAGGAGCCCCCTGTACTCATCTGTGTAGGCCTTGACTCCATTGATATTTATTTTTCACTGGGACTTATTCCCAAGAGTGTTGCAATTCTGCCTGTATTTAAGGGCTGCCAACTTCAAATTGAGAAATTCCTAGAGATTTGAGGACAAGCCTGTGGCGGGACCTCAGTGGGTTTTATTATCATCATTATCATCATCATCATCATCATCATCATCATCATCATCATCATCATCATCATCATCATCCCGCCCTCCCAGCCGGGGTTGGCTCAGGGTGGCTTACATAAGAACAGAATAAAATTCCAACAGTAAAATATAAAAGTATGACATCTCTTAATAAAATAACAATTCTTAAAACCATAAACATAGTAATATAATAAAGTGCTAGTACTTAGTTTCCTCATCTTACAGTCAGCTCATTGATCTACTTCAGTTGTCCTGGGCAATTAGCTCAGATAGTAGTTGGAAAACCCAGGGGATCAGGGCTCTCCCATCATAGGCTCCGCTTTACAGGCCCTGCAGAACTGCAAGAGGTCCCGCAGGGCCATGGTCTCCTCCAGGAGCTCATTCCAACAGAGTGGAGCCACCACCAAGAAAGCCCTGGCCCTAGTTGTCACTAGCCTGGCCTCCTTAATACTCGGGGGCAGGGGCAGCTGATTCTGGGTCGCTGATTGCAGCGCTCTCTGGGGTACATATGGGGAAAGGCAGTCCCTCAGGTATGTAGGTCCCTGGCCATAAAGGGCTTTAAAGGTAATAACCAGCACCTTGAAACAAATCCGGTACACTATAGGCAGCCAGTGCAATGTCTTTAGCACAGGTTGGATGTGCTCCTGAATAGGGAGTCCCATCAATATCCTGGCTGCGGCATTTTGCGCCAGCTGCAGCTTCCGTATTTGAGACAAGGGCAGCCCCATGTAGAGGGCATTACAGTAATCCATTCTCGAGGTGACCATCGCGTGAATCACTGCTGCCAAGTTGTTGAGTTTGAGGATGGGAACCAACTGCCTAATCAGCCTGAGATGGTAAAAGGCCGACTTGGCAGTGGCATCTAGGAACACTCCCAAACTCCTAACCTCCAGTGCTGGCACCAGTGGTGCCCCATTGAAGGTCAGGAGTGGGATCCCTACCCTCGGACCACTCCAGCTCAGGCACAGGACCTCCGTCTTCATCAGATTCAATTTCAGCCGGCTCAGCCTAAGCCAACCAGCCACAGCTTGTAATGCCCGGTCTAGGTCTTCTGGTTTGGAGTCAGACTGATCGCCCAACAGCAGATAGAGCTGGGTGTCATCCGCATACTGGTGACAATCCAGTCCATGACTCCAGGCAATCCAGGCAATATAGATGTTAAAAAGCATCAGGGACAGTACTGCTCCTTGAGGCACTTCACATTCCAGTGGGTCCCTTTGGGACAGCTGATCCCCTAGCACCACTCTCTGTCCCCGGCCTTGGAGAAAGGAAGCAAGCCACTGCAAGGCTAGTCCCTGGACTCCAATGTCAGCGAGGTGGTGGATCAGTAGCTAATAGTCGATCATGTTGAATGCAGCCGACAGGTCTAACAACAGCAGCACTGTCGATCTGCCTCGATCCAGATGCCTCCAGAGGTTGTCCGTGAGGGCAACCAGTGCCGTATCTGTCCCGTGACCCGGGCAAAAACCGGATGGGAAGGGGTCTAAGATGGAAGCGTCATCCAAGAAGCCCTGTAACTGAATTGCCACTGCCCTCTCTATTATCATGCCCAGGTAGGGCAAGTTGGAAACTAGCTGATAGTTGGTCAATTTGGCAGGATCCAGAGATAGCTTTTTCAGGAGAGCTATATAACCTACACTTATATAGATCTGAGTCCCACTGAGACGAATGGGAACTCTGTTATTGGCAGGCAGCAATAGTCCCACTGAGATGAATGGGAACTCTGTTATTGGCAGGCAGCAATAGGGTCCCTATTGGTGTTTCCAAGACTGGAAAACACCACCCCGACCACTGTCTAGCATTTTCATGCCAGAGTTTCTGGGTGGGTTTCTCTTGGGTCCTAGGGGCCTTCCCACAGCATCCCCCATTTCCCAAACCACTTGGGTTTGGTTTGGATTCGGGTTCGGTTCAGTACAACTCCCGAGCCCAAACAGAACTGCTTCCCCCCCCCCCCCCCCCCGCCTCCCCCTAAGTGGCAGTATATCTGTGGAGTGCCATTTATCTAATACATTGCTTTCAGCAAGCTTTGTATCCAGGAATTGTTCAGGATGATTGTGTAAACTACATCACAGGCTTCTTTAATATACCTGCTCAGATATTCACATCAATTTTTGTCCTTAAGCTTGCTATAGAACTTTCATTGTTCAAAAATACTCTCTTAAATAAAAGGGGAAAAATCAACATGTAGATTTTGAAGAACAGTGTAAGTAAATGTCTTTGCAGAAAGCTTTATGTGCCTTTGTATGCAAACAGTTACAAATTGGTTCATTTAAGAGAATGATTTCTTCAAACTCATCTTTAATGAAGTTTTCAGCAGAGAGGGCCCTGCACAGAAGCATAAATACACATCTTTCTGATGTATAACTTTTTTGAATTTAAATCCAAATGGCATAATTTTATGCATAAATCTTCCAGAGAATAGTTTACAAACCTACATGGAAAGAAACGATAATTTTCTTGTGTAGCAACACAGAGATAATTGTTGCAGGATGATCTCACCCCTGTTCTCTTTCATTCTGCCAGTTTGGAAGATCAGTTATATGAAGTCTGGGCTTTATATTTTCTTAAACCCAAGAATCTTGGATTAGCATAATCTGGCCTTGACTTTGATCATTTTTTCTGGTTTAAAAAATATACGGAAGTGTGTGCTGTAAGATACTTAATTGAATTTTATAAATATGACATATTTGACACTGGCCAGGTTTTTCACTTTCTTGGAACATTTATAAATGCAGATTGCACTCATTTTCAAACAGCTCTTTATGCTATGAATGGAGAATATGCTTAATGAAGCTAACCCGAGCAAGCTACGTAAATGGAAAAGAGACATCTGTTTCATGTTCTTGGATGCAGAAAAATTGAGAGAAGCATGGAGGGTGCTTGCCATCTAGAATCTAAAGTATGTTATGGTAGTTTCCAGTGCAGGAAAACATACCTCTTTAAAAATGCTGCAGCAACTCCTATTTAAAGCAATAACTTGTTTAATATTAGTATGTGTACACAGCATTTGTTTTAAATCATGTTTTGGATGCAGATCTTAATACAACTGGAAGTTGATAAGTCAATGATTCAGTTATTCAAATGTTCTATGTCTGAAGTATTGCTCTGTTCTCATGGGATGAAACTATCCCCATTTCCACTTTGAGAATTGCTTGCTTGAAAGTGCCTCCAATAAATATTGCCATCAGTACCAGAATTTTCCATCTCAGGGTACATGTGTCTACCCATGTACGTGCAAACCTGAGTAGGAGTATTTTGTTTTCGTAATAAAAATACGGGGCATATATGAGGGCAGCCAGGGCTTTTTTTGTAGAAAAAGCCCAGCAGGAACCCATTAGCATATTAGGCCACACCCCGACACACATCTTATTAGCATATTAGGCCACACCCGTGCCTTCCCTTGGCTTGCCTTGGGTGCAAGAGCAAGCCCCCCCGGGAAGGGAAAGCAGTTTAAACTGCCTTACCTTGGCTTGCCCGGGCAACCGCGGCTGCGGGGAGCCCGGGCAAGCTGGACCTTGGCAGGCCAGGGAAGGCACAGGGAGGCATTTAAATGCCCCCCATCCTTCCAGGGCCTGCCCACCTCAGAGTCACTGGGGGGGTCACTCTCCAGGCCTTCCCTCTGTAGCCATGCACACAGAGGTTTTGGCTGTAGTGGGCGTGGCCAACTCTGAAGCCAGCCGGAACTCCGTTCCTGTGCGTTCCTGCCCAAAAATAGCCCTGAGGGCAGCTAAAGTCTGGTCCCCGTGCTGGCTGACCTTACTGTTCTCATATCTTTGCCCAGTACTGAAAACGAGCTTGTGTTACATTTTTCTAAAACATATTTTTCACATCAGTGGGCTGACATGTATAAAAGCACGTTGCACATTAGTACATGTTGATTTTATTTATTTAAAATATTTATATCTTGCCTTTCCACAATGCCCAAGGTGGCTTACAAAATATAAATGGCATACAGTTCAAAACATAGTTAAAACACTAAATCAGGTTAAAGCCAAATCAACTATATTAGGTTAAAACAGCAACTCCTGCAAGAAATATCACCATCAGCTGCCAAGCAGAGATGTTAAGTAGATGCTTCCACCAAAGCGTGTTAGAATAATTTTGTTTCATACATTTTACAAAAGAGTTGAGAGTGTGGGAGTTTTCTGCACTGTATCTGGCAGGCTTTTCCAAAGTGTGGATGCGGTGACTGTAAATGAGTGCACAGGCTATATATGAGCAGACCTCCCAAATAGAGGGGACTAAACTGAGGCACCTGAAAATATTACTTGGTTCACAGGCTCATATGTGGAAAGATGGTCCAGCAGATAAGCGGGTCCCAGGATGTGAAGGGCACCTTGAGTTCTGTCTGGAAACAAAGCTGCCAGATCACATGTGTAATATCATAGCACTGGCATAAACCAGTCAGTAATCTATGGGAAGC